TAAAGTAATTTGGAAAGTTCTAAACTACTTTCCAGCTGAGATTGCAAACAAGTAATAAACAAGCATAAATCCTCTTTAACCCCCCCCCCCCTCCTTTCCCATCTGCATATGGCTGTAGTTCCTGCATTGTTGACAATGTTGCAATGACAAATTTTTTAGTGTTATTACATTCCCACTTTGTAAATTGCGGAACAGATTAAGGGATACCTATCTTCCTACTATCTTTATTACCTAATCTGGAAAACCATTTTTGCTCAACAGTAGCTGCGCTGGTTCTAAAGGAATGAAGTTATACCACTTATTTTTGAAACCAAGCTCTGCCAAAGCCACTCCATTTAAAATTGATTAAAACATATACTAATTACCTTCCAACCCAAGAGACACAATGGAGGACTATGAAATGTTTCCAAAGTATTTGTAGATGTATATGTACTGCACCAGACTTGAAGTACCTATATGACTAAATTCCATATTCCCGACCCTTGCCCAGCTGATGCTCTCTCAAAATCTGCAACTTGTCACCTTAAACTTCTTACTTCAGGAATACTGAAACTGTAACATAAATTCAGAAGGGGTTACCCCCCATCTCTCACCCCAAGGCAAAATATGGTAAAGACTAGGTTGGGGAAAAAAATATGGACTTCAAATTTGTTTTAGAGTTGTAAATGTGCATAATTATATGAAGGCCTGCCTTTATTTAATACCCTAAAATGCTGGGGAAGTTTTGCTAAAATGAATCTTTAACTCTTTCAGATTTGCATTTGTACCCACCAGCTGATACATGGATGTAAACTATATTAGTTTAGGGGTGTGCACCAATGACATAATATGTAACTCATGGCAACTGGGTTTGAACTGACATTTTTCAATGGAGAAATGCCCATTAGATATATGCATGATATGTGTCAACAGTTTTTGTAAAATTGCCGTCTTTGACAAACCAGTAGCCTCATTTCTGAAAACAACATACAAAACATTGCAGGAAATGGATCAGATTCTATTCAATTCAGGTCTGTGGAACAATATGTCTTACCTCCCCCCCCCCCTTCAACCCCAAGAATTTGCATCTCCTAGCATGGCTGATTAATAGTAAATCTTGTCTTATGATTAGTTTTTTATGTTTTATATTTCATGATGAATAAAACCAGTTTCCCAAACATATTACCTTTTGTGAGTTTAAGAACCGTGAATTAAAATTTGAACTAAAGCATTTTTTTTTTCCTGAGTTAATTTACAAATCTTTTTATTTTTATTTTCCCACTTAGAGACACAACAGAAACCATCAATGACCAAAAATTAGGCCCCGATTTAACATAATCTTTTATTATAGCCTTTTTTCACTAACTGCTTGACCATTGATCAATGCTCCTTCCCAACCAAAATACAAAAATACATCCACAGCCCTGTCCCGATATGCCTGCATGACTGTAACAATTTAAGAACCCTATAATTTATTCATTTTGTCAAAACTAAGTTACTCGAGTAAATTTGTAAAAAGTCAGGAAATTTGAGTTGCATAATCATATTTTAAGGTTCACTAACCCTCTGATAAAGACAGATAACTCAATGGATTAAATGCGCATATTCCTAATAATCTTGTCAAGTTAAAATGTCTTTTGTGACAATTTTATCCTGAAGCTATGCTAAAATTATCTGCATTTCATTTTACCTATTTATTTAATTAATTAATTTATTTTTATTTATTTACTTAGACTTGAACCTAAAAGGCCCTTGTATGCCTAAAAATATCGAACAAAACCAGAAGCTTTTATTACATTGCAAGAAAACTCCCATGATGAAATTAGTCTCTACATGTAAAATCAAACACTTTCCCAAACCTAAACGAGAAATATTCTATATAATGTGATAATAATGTAAGTTTATTTGAGTTTTTTAGTTTAACTTGAGAAGGTACAATACTTTTATTTAACACAACTCTAAAAATTTATGTATCATACCCAAGGGACCTTAGGGGGCAGGAGAGAGAAGACAATAAATCTGTTATCATTAAACCTTCACTCAATTAAAGTACAGGCTCTATTAGCGACGTTCATGATTATGCAAGGTGGACACAGCTTTGAAAATGACCTAGTAGCCCGAACCTCCTTGATTTCCTTTATAATCTTAACTGAACCAATGAGCAGACACAGAATATATATATATATATATATATATATATATATATATATATATATATATATATATATATATATATATATATATATATCTGAAACTTGTCTTTGACCCCATCTTAATCTGAACCCATTTTATATCCCGACAAGCAAAACAGTAGCTAGCCTTGATAGAATTTTAGTTAATTATTAAAAATATGGGGAATCCTATCTACCCTAACTGGTGAACAATTGTGTTTTTAAATTGCAATGCCCTTCTATTATTGGTCTCGTGGAGGGCCCGAGGCCAAAATTGTCCTCCTTGCCAAGCCCTATAAGAGAAGCGATATCCCGATAGGTGAGGATGCTGCTGGCTCAAATTTGACTGCAATGTGGATTTGGCGGACAATGTACAATTCGACTTAGGGTGCTCATGCCCCCATTTTAAATGGCCTGAATTGCTCATTGTAATGCTTCCATCCAACTGATATTTATGTCTCAAATATATTAAGTCATCATTCATGCATTCATTTTTACCTACCTAGAGTTTTGCCACTACATTTGACAACAGTAAATATGTTGTACAATTAAATACACATCTACTTCATGTTTTATTCATATACATATAATGCATTTTTGTAATACAACATTGTAAAACACAACAACTTCCTCTGCCTGTATTTTACTTTACACAATTTTATCTTACAATTAATAACTGCCTTTGTATACAAATGTATCTTTTTCATGCCTCTCTTGGAGGAAGGGGGGGGGGTTGATTGGAAATAAACTATTGTCTATATATACACTTAAAATAAACAGTACTCCCCTTTGTGAATTCAGCTATATAACATTTGGATGGCTACAATAAATTTACTGTATATTAATTAATTTTCAATCTGTTTTTACTAAATGCTTTAAAGGTACAGGGTAGCACTATCCTTGTACAATCCCCCCCCTTTTTTGCCACTAAATGTTTTTAAGTATTAATCTGATAAATATATATAACAAATCTATGTTACAAAAGCCACTGTGAGAATTATATGGATATTCCCCTAAAGATTGTGGCCAAGGGACATAAGTATCTAAATATCGACACGTGTTTGACCTTGAAGAAAGGGTACCGAATAAATTTGAAGTTTAATAATCATCATTTTCACGCTGGCTCTGTTTTTACGATTAGTCAACTAAATAACCTTTTCTTTATTCAAAATCTGTTGATGAAATCGGTTATTCCATTTTTATCCCTTGTAACATGTGCCAGTACAAGGGAAGGACGGGGTGGAAAATCGATCTGTTTCCATCCAATCAAATATTCGCCATCGAACGATATAAATGTTAATAAAATAATTAATGCTACTTATTTCGACTGAAAATTAACTTTAAAATACAGAAATTGTGATAGACTATTTCAAAATGCAAAAATTAAATCAGATACTTTCATCACCCACCTTTCACTTTCATTGATGCATAGAAAAGGGGAGATAACCCGGAAACATAGTGACTAAGTACCGACACTGTATGGGTGGATAACTAAATTCCGACTTTACTCAATCATTTTCTCGCAAAATAAGAGGCGAATGATGACATTAATAACAGGGTAGAGCTTTGATAACGACGCATATTGTGAGACGAGCTCAAATATGCGGTAATATATTAATTTCAAACTATACGTATTAGGGAACTGAAATTATTTGTCATTTGGATCATACATTATAACTTTGCGAAAGATACATGTAGCTCAGGTGGATTGAAAATGAATTTCGGATTGCAATTTCAATCCAATGTTTTCGCAGACGTCCGTGTCAATTTGTACCCGCCGATTTGATCGTATATCATCAAGTGTTTGACTGCGACAGATGGAAATGACGTAAGTTGCATATTTCCAATTTTGCCAGTTAATGTTCCGCAGTCTTAGCCAAAATATTGTCTATATGATATAGCATTGAAATAATGGGGAAACCCTACTCTGAGAAAGAAGTAGGGGAACAAGGCGAGCGAAATGCCTAGGTGCGACAAATATGAAGATGATAAATGAAATCTTAATTATAACAAAATTTCTTTCATATTTCATCTAACATTAAAATATACTTCATGTAAAATCTCCACAATTTGCAAAAAGCTCACAAAGATAGGAATTATTTGCCTATAAAATAGCATTCACAAAGCAAAGAGGGCAAAAAGAATCAAGTCCTCATTTTCCATATGAGTGGGTCTTCGCTCCGTTATTTTTTTTAATTTATCCTGAAAGTTTGTGTAAAAATATACACTTTTGGTTAACAAAAACATGGAGCAAAGACCCACTATACCTTTAAAATATACTTTTATGACACAACATTCGCATCTTTCCGAGAAGTCCATTTAGTCAAGGGTCAAATCACAAACATGATTTAAATGCCATTATTTATTAGGAGTTGTGTAGCGTAGTGGTTAGCGCGTTAGTCTCAAAGGAAAATGATACTCAGGATGTTTATTGCATTGGTTCGAATTATACGAATACCACATTATTTTTTCAATAACAGAATAATTTTGTAATATTATTGGATGTAATCAGTTGCATTTAGGACTAATGACGATTAATTGCATGCTTGAAAAGATAAATACATAAGTAAGAAAGAAGGAAGGAAAGAAAGACAGTGACCAACACAGGATGAAACTCTGTTATTCAATTAACTGAAAGGTGACTGAAAGTCTACTGAAAGGTGACTGAATGACAGAGCTCTGCGATTCAGTCCTTTCTACACCTTTCAGTGACCATTCAGTTGACAGAAAGGTATAGGTTCATCCTGTGCAAATGAAGGGGATTTAAGAGGTAAGTTATAGCTGATATATTAATCACTTCGAAAAACAGATACATATGTATTTGACTATTTGACTAAAGAGAAGACAAACTTCGTATTTTTAATTATATTGCGACAAGACACAATAATTATTATGTTTTAATTTTAAAACTTCATATTTTCATGCAAATCAAGTAACATATGTTTATATGTATCAAAGTGCACAATATACGAAAGACAGCGATAAATAGTAATAAATCATGAATTCCAGGTATACAAGTTCTTATTCCAGATACAAAGTACTCATCCCCAGGTAAGGGTTTTCATAGCCTGCTGATGTGGAATAGCATTTTTGAATTCATGTCTCACACAAATTCAATCATGTTCACGTTGATGTTATTTTTTCTCTATTCTGATATTAGAGAAAAACAGGCTGAAAACTTCACAGAATGGAGCACAGCAGCAGTTGACGCAGGTTCCAAAGGTTTTCTGGCAGAGATTGCAGTGAATCATGCAGACCCGTAGCATGGGGGTTACACACCACACGTGGGCGAAAGCGATTAATGCAAACTCTATGCCCCATATAATGGCAAGGAAAATCCCAATAACGATGGTGAAGACGTTGTAGCAGCATGATTTGCATCCGTGGAAGCAGAAGTAAGAGGCCTTCCATACACAGTTACTGCTATGGGTGCCGTCCGTCTCTGCAATGACATCTTCAAACCCTGTCTAAAATTATAAAGATTTTATATTTTACTTTTCATTTTTGATTTTTATTTATCAAAAACTAATTTAGCTTATCAACTGAATTGAAGTTTATTTTCTTCCCCATTTGAGATAGGTTTTATCATATATTTTTGCATGTTAACATTTTACTAAATTTAAAAGCATACAACAGATGTGAGAATTACAAATCTTGTACTTTGCACAAGCGCGCGTGCTTGGAAATAATTTTTCACCTATTTATTTAAAAAAAAAACTTTTTTTTTAATTTATTCTTCAAAGGCTTGTCTAAGGAGATCGAAAAGCTTATAAAACAGTGTATCATAGATACATGACCGTGCCTATATTCATCGGAAAAGAGGACATTATATAATATTTACCTTCAAATGATCATTGATTGAATTAGGATCTCGGTTTTCCATGTCTAAAGTTGATAAATCCATTTTTGAAATTCAGCAGAAAACACAGGCCCAGACGTTCACTTCAACGGCTACCGAGACCCTGAAGACGTGCAAGATATGTGCAGTCTCTTTTATTAGATCATTCCCTAAGTTAAATCAAGATGTCAATGGAATTGGACGACAAACAATGATCAACACAAAGGACTTATTATTGCAGACAGGAGTTTTAAAACAATTGCATTATTAAGTTATTGTACTTGAATGGTGTGTTCATAAAAATATCTATGCCGTATCCTTTTTACAACAAAACCAGGTTCAGATTAAAATCTGGATTCGGAGTCTTCAATGTCAAATTTAAACTACTGATAAAAACGTCACCTGACGACCAAGACGGATTGTTGATGTTTGCTAATTAGTAACTAATTAGTTTGTTTATATGTACTTACCATGTAAAAGAGTTGAACTTGGAAAAAAAATTGATGCGAGAAACCTCCTAAAAGCCTGTATGATACTAACTTTCTCTTGGTTGACATAAGATGACACCTCTGTGTTCCCAGAATGCAGCTGTGATCCCAGAATGCAGCTGTGATTTTCGCAAAGTGTACTTTGAGGACCAATGTTGCTCGTTTTATTTTCAGCCATGTCTGATTCAAACCAGAAGAGTGTTTACTTGTATATTAAATCGTTTCAAACTCCGGTTGCCCATACTCAGTATTCAAAGGAATCACTGTACAAACTTTTATTTAAAAAATTCTATTAGATGTTTTGGCTACTGTTACACAACTCATGAGATTTTTCCTTTCTTTTTCAAGTTACATGTAATATATTCAGTTGCCGAGGACTTGGTAGCTTTATTTTGCCTTTCTATCTTAATTTGCAATGTTTTACCTTTGATTCTTATAATATTTACTACTTTTCTACGAATGTACCAGAGTTTTCACTTTTGGGCTAGTTCAGTTTATTGAATTTGATGTTAAAGCTTATAATGTCATCGTTATGGGGCTTTCTATTGGGTTTGTAATAGAAACATGAAAGTGTCTCTACTCGGGTTTGGACCCGGGACCTCTGGCATGCTTATTAAGTGTTCTTCCATTTGAGCTAACGAGTAAACCCACCAATCAAACCTGAGAAGCCGTCCATCACACACTACACACATGTACCACACTGTTCCTTGATAGAGAAATAGGTCTCCGCATCTCTTAGGGAGTGTCAACATGCTGTAAGGAAAAGTTCTACGGGCATTCACATGAAAGTGCAACGGGGAATCACATCAAAGTGCAACGGGCAATCACATGAAAGTTCAACGGGCAATCACATGAAAAGTTCTACGGGCAATCACATGAATGTTCTATGGACAATCACATGAATGTTCTATGGACAATCACATGAAAAGTTCTACGGGCAATCACATGAAAAGTTCTAGATCTACGGGCAATCACATGAATTCACTTTACAAAGAGTGAGTATCAGATGTAACTGAGACACGCTGTTGCCTGTACATGTGATTGATCCTGATACATCTGGCATGCCAGTCCATTGGTCTATCATTCGAATTATAGTGTTTCTGCCTAAAGCAAGCTTGAAGGTAGCAGTCCGATACACACTGCTCTTTGTGTATATCAATCTACTGCGATTCGCAGATATTAAATCAAAAATAATCATAAATAATTTTATATGATAAAGAAAGAAAATTATTTTAATAATTTTTTGACAAAAAAAAAAATAAATAAATAAATAAATGCACTAGTAAAGATATTTTATTTACTAGAGATATTAAGTTTTTCAGTATTGAGGTTTAAATACTCTATAGCTCCAGATCCATATCATCTCATCCAGAAGTATTTACGTGTTGTTTCTAAAGATTAGACTTAAAAATCATCAAATCCCTATGAAAGGTATGCGTACAAGAAATAAAATTCAAACACAGTATATGAATATCTTTTATCCTCTTCCTGTGATCAATGTTAAACATTATCAAGTCCACATGTTTTTATTTTCAACTGCAAATAATAGTATGCTATATAATTATATACTTGCAGAACTGCGACTAAGTGAAACATAATCAACGTTAGAACAATGTCCATCACTTTTTCTCAATTTTGATGTTTGAAAAGATTAAAATAAATACTTCGTAACATGGGGTACAGCAACAGTTTATGGCATCTCTTAAATATTGATAACTTGTATGTCAACATAACTATCTCGCATGAAGACATAATTATCTTGCAAGCTGACATACTTTTCTTGCATGCTGACATAATTTATCTTGCATGTATGGTAGAAATATGCCACCATAATTTTGTCTATGTCATACTTTTTGTATGATCAATAAATACAGCTTATAATATTTACATCTAATGAATATTATCTCCTTTATTTCTTATAAATCAATCGGTAAACGCCACTAAGCAAGACATCTGTATACATTTCTTGAGCAGCGGCTCTTCCATCAATTACGCTGCATTTCATTTCCGGAATTTTGCATTGCATTTCCGACATTTTTAGTTTTCATTTCCGACATTTTTTATTTTCATTTCCGACATTTATTATTATTATTTTTTTTTTTTTTTACATTTCCGGAATTTTTTTTGAAGGGTACCTTTTGTCAATTTAATGTTATCCAAGTAGCTAAACAACCAAAGAAAACATTTTATTGTTTAAATAAACACTCAATTAGGGGTCATACTGTATACTTTTATGGGGAAGTTGCAAAAGAGGTATTTGTTACGGTATATGTGTACTCTTGATTCCAATCCCCAGAAAATTTATCGCTGTATAAATATTAAACAAAGCGCGGTACAAGTTACATGTATCTTGACCATATACTCTCCGAAGACTTGAAATAACACCGGAAGTATGAAGATAAAATTCTGAAAATTTTGTAATGCCATTTATAAGGAAGTAAGAAGTAAGAAATTCATTTTTTAATTACACAAGACAGCACAAGACATATTTTCTTTAATCTGAATTATACAAAATTATTTGTAAAGGTGTGCTTGTATTCGAAAAATCTATAAATGAATGCGTTTTCATAAATTGAAGAAAAAATTCTCATTTCATAATACATCGATTCTCTTTTCTACGATCGGGCACAAGATCTCTTGAAACTTTCCTGATGGCCGATACGCCGCGTAGAGTCTACATGTTTATGCATTTCTCACTCTGCTTTTCTCGCTATAATTATCAAATTAATTTAACAAATCTAAACAGGTATAAAGTGACAGGTTTTCGTCTACCTTCGTTGAATTGTAGGGTACGGCTAATATAATTGGTTAAAAACCGTGTTGATCATTAATCGGTGATTTAAATTCTTTCAAACAATTGCAGCATTTAGTAACTGAGCATTCAGGACCGATCGATGCATATTGCTTTTGTTAAAGTTTGCAAAAAATGGTGTTAAGGAACATATCTGGTAATGGGTTTCTTGATCCCTATAAAGAATAAAATGCATTATCTCTAAATGCTGATTTTTAGCTCTACTGGTCAGAGACCAGAAGAGCTTATGCGATAGTAAGGTGTCCGTCATCCGTCCGTCTGTCTGTAAACATTTTTTTAAAATGCTACTCCTCCTACAGTTTTGGTCTGATTTCAATATAATTTGGCACATAAGTAGACTACACTAAGATACATAATTCTGTGTATCGATTTTTGATTTCAATGAACGGTGTTGCCATGGTTACTAAAAATAAAAATTTCTTTGAAATACTTTCAAAAGCTACTCCTCCTACAGTTTTGGTCTGGTTTCAATATAACTTGGCACACAAGTAGACTCTACTAAGATACATAATTCTGTGTTTCGGTTTTTAATTTCAATGAATAGTGTTGCCATGGTTACTCAAAATAGAAATTTCTTTGAAATACTTTCAAAACGCTACCCTCCTACAGTTTTGGTCCGATTTCAGTATAACTTGGCACACAAGTAGACTACACTAAGATGCATAACTCTTTATATCGATTTTTAATTTCGATTAACATTGTTGCCATGGTTACTAAAAATTGAAATTTTGGTCTGATTTTAGTATTACTTAGCACACAAGTAAACTACACTAAGATACATAATTCTCTGTACCAGTTTTGGATTTCGATAAACAGTGTTGCCATGGTTACTAAAAATAGAAATTTTCTTGAAATACTTTCAGAACGTTACTCCTCCTACACTCTTTTACAATGAGATACATAATTGGTGTTATTGTTTTTTTGATTTTTGTTGAATGATGTTGCCATGATTACTTAATTCGAAATTTCTGTAAAATTGTTTTAAAAGGCTACTCCTCCTACAGTTTTAGTCTGATATAATAATAAATCTTGCCACAAAAAGAGACTGAACCAAGGATCATTATTTTATTTATTGCTGTTGCAAAGTTTCAAGTCCAAGTGCTACTTTTATCTTCCTTTATAAGTACAACCAGTAGAGCTACAGTCTCGTCAGAGACTTCTGGTTTTTCTAATTTTTGAAACTGAAATGTCCATGACGATATTCAGTCTATAATTAGATATGACACTGGTCCAATATAAGAATTATATCGGTATACACATATTATTTCAAAATTTTACATCATTGGTAATTTAAAGAGATATCAAGACTCTAAATCTCAGAAAGACCTAATTCATAAGAAAATGAAAGTATACACTGTAGTAAACTACAGTGAACTATTAAACAAAACTTTTTTGTTACGGATATTAACATGATGCGCGATTTTTTTTAAACTTTCCAAAGTTTCACCGTTGATTCTATTCTACCTTTGAATATCGAAAAGTGAAAATCACCCTTCAGAATATATAACCCCAAATGCTCTGTATTGCAGACTTATTGCAGCCCTTAATATATAAAAAATTCTATATTCAGGGTTCATTTGCCACACTGTATGAAAAAATACTCTTAAGATAATAACCTTTTGATTTTTAATTATACGTAGCAAGCTTTTCAATAACTTTTAAGCAGCTAAAGCAACTATACCCTGTCCCTTTAAAATCTATAAATCTATAAAATTATAATAATTATGTAGAGTATATAATTAATGTATCTGGATTTATTTAAATTGAGCAAAACTCTACATATGCATATGCATTTTGAAATGGACATTA